CACCTTGCTGGGGTCATTTGACCCCAGTGCTCTTCCTGCCATGGCAGGGGGTCGGACTAGATGATCTGCTCAGGTCCCTTCCGACCCTAGAAACTATGAAACCTATCACCTGTCCAGGGATGGGGTCAATCCCCCGCCCCCATCTGCTGCACTGCCTCGGCGCCCTACAACTGTGCCGTGCCTGGCACGACTGCCGCACCCACCCAGGGCAGTAGGAACCCCCAAAAATGCTAGGGAGCTCCTGTGAGGCCTCCTCGCACCCCTACAGCCTCACCCGGTCCTCCGGTTTAACAATATCAAACAAGGAACACAAAACCATGAGCCCACCGGCTACAACACAACAATAAGCCTTCTGGCTATACCCTAAAGTTCAGGCCCCACCTGGCTTTCCAGTAAAACCTCCTAGTCAGGGTTCTTTCCACCCGCGCCATGGTGAAGCTACTCGTTCTATCAGTCTGCTCGCCTCTGCTCGGCTCCACTGCCGAGCTCTTGCTCCTCCAGCTGCCAGAAGGGAACTGCCCACATGGCTCTGGCCTGGGCTGCCCTGCCCCCTTCTGGTCACCTGACCAAACATGGTTGTCCCAGCAACCAGCAGCTGGGCTGCCCTGGTGATCGGCAGCTGTCCTTAACCCTTTTCTAGGCACAGGTCACCTACGTGATCCTGTGACACTTATGACCAAGCATAAGAACCATCCAATTTCATATAAAAAGGTTAAGCTCTACAATCTAATATAGTGGTGCTACACCTAAGGCCCAGAGGCTGGATCTGGCTCCTGAAATGACTGGATCTGGCTTGCAGCATGGGGGAATAACAGCAAGCAGATTGGCCTGGTGCATCCCCTTACCTGCCCTGCACCACACTGCTGATCCCTTCCACACCCAGAGGTAAACTCTTTTCCTCTGCACTCCACACTGGCAGCCACCTCCCTCTCTCCCTGCCCCCTTCCCCTACTGGAGGGGGCTGGTGGCTCACAGTGCAGCCATGTCACAAGCATCTGACCTGCCACTCTACAAAGCTGAGCTGCACTGGTCCAATACATACGTGTTTTGCAGCAGACATGTTGAATTGCCCATACTGCCCAGAGCTGAACACCAGGTATCGTGAAGCAATCAAGTAATGGATAAAAAGGACTGAAGGATCTATGGGTTAGAGAAAGATGTTCAGTAAAGTTGTACCAATATAGGATCCCATCATTAGCGAAGCAGTCCCTACACATTAAGCTTTAGGCATTCTCATACAACATTGCTGTATTATAAGTATAAACACTAAGGAAACTCCACAGGCACAACTGTGACCAGATCAGTAAATACTTATTATTCACTGTGTGCTAGCAGTGCAAAGACCCAGGCTATATATCAAATAAGTAATGCTGAACACAATCACAATGCCATTATATGCAATGTGCTTCCTCCTCTAGGACACCATGGCCAGTTCTAGTAACTCTGAGAACAGAAGAAAGAGGGGTTTGATGAATAGGTGATGATGAATGATTAGAGGCCTGGGAAGTCTTCCTTAGGAAGACAGACTAAAAACACTGGGACTATTTTGAGCACACAGAAGAGTGGCAAGTTTCATAGTGATCCTTTTCTTTTCTTTTTTTTCTTTTTTTTAACACCACCGACACCAATTAACCAACTGAGCTCACTGATTAAAGCTGAACAGTATTATAAAAAAGTTTTAGCTCTCTCAAAGTTTAATAGGAACATTTGTACCCCACAGTGGGGTTCTGTGTTACTCTTTAAGAAATTCAAATTCTGTTGTGGTTAGGAGGAAACTTAGATAGTCATAAGCACAGAGCCAAATTCTGGTTCCAGAGGACATCATTTTCTGATTTAATCTTTTATTATCATTTAGAATAGCATTTCAGCTGGCTTGGAAATGGTTTTTCTCCATTCTCAAACCTGGTTAAAGAAATACATATGCTATAAAAGCATATCCTTTCATCAGGGAGGATACTTAGAACGAAGAGGCTGATGGCAGCAGAAAAGCAGTAGGAACACAACTCTAGAAACAATATGCTAATGTTAACACTTTTATGCTGGTATTCAGAATTCATTACCTGTAGGCTACCAATGCCACCATCTTACATCTTGGAGTCGGCCACTTCAAAATGGCTGAGTGCTGCAAAATATAGAATCAAATACTGTAGTACTTACAGTAAACAGCATAATTATACTACAGTAAAACAAGGATATCCATTTAAGTTAGCATACCAGCTGTTCCATAAGAGATTTTCTCTGGGCTGGACTTAGTGTCCAGGCCTGCTCCCCTCTAGATATTAAATGAGCAATAATTCCAGCTGAAAAATAGCTGACTTCTATCTCAGTGCTGCACAACAATTCACCAATGGTGTCTATGAAGTCCTTCCACATTAGCTTAGAATGCAGCTCTCTCACTTCTGCTACGTTGTTCTGTAAAAACATGCACAAAGTTTATTGTTTAAGACTAACAGCACATATAAATACAACTTACAGATGTTAATAAAAGCTAATACATTTTCATAAAGAATAAATGGGTCCCATGTTGTCACATGCAAATCGACAAATGTCTGAAACTTTCCCATATCCCATTACAAGAACCAAAACCCTAACTGAAACCAAGAGCTGGAGCTGTGCCACGTTTTATCACATAGCTCGAAATTCTTATCAGATTTCACTGAGAGATTTACCATGGAGTTGAGCAGTAGCAAACTTTTACCCATCAACTTCTTTTGGAGACTTCTGCTCATTTAACTTGCAGCTCTATCCTCTGTTGAAGTAATGAGGGAAATCCCTCCCCACTGGTGAAGGCCCAGTTCTATTTGAAGCCACGCACCATTAATTTGTTTTCAGAGAAAAACGCTGACAAGCTTTGTGCATCACATGCATATATTTGTAAGAATTAAGAAGGAATAGCTCTTTTACAGAAAGTCCACACATTATCCAGAAAATTTAACAAAAAAGCCAAGAAAAACTTTTTTCTTTTTAAAGTAGAACCCAATTCTGATCTTACCAGAAGGCCAAGAACTTTATGTTGTATTGAGGAATCAGAGGGAAAAAACTGTGAAGAGAAACAAAGACACCAGTTAGATATGGTTTCAGTATACACTAACAACCCGGTACAAACATAGTTATCCTCACCTCTAAAACCCTCATGAAGAGTTCTAGCCCTTGATTGTCAATGAAATGCCGACACGTGGTAGGGGATTCATCAGTCAGATTCCACAGTGCACTCAGCGTAAACATGAAAGTCGTATCCACTTCGTTCAGATTTGTTTTTTGTTCAACTATTTCAAGAAGCTCCTGGCAAAGAAAAAGAAAAGTTTTAATTCTGGCTTTGACATTAGCTACCCAAATTAATAATACCTGTATTATAATAGCACCTGAGGCCCCATGCTGCTATGTGCACTGGTTTCTATCCAATTTAACATCACGGATTAATCTATGTCAAGATAGGCAACTCACCCCAACAACAATGTAAAGTTCTGCACTAAGTTGGGCTGTTTGCTCAGATGAAAGCTGCAAGGAAACATATTACATAAGTATCTGGAAAAAAATCTGTTTGAAATCAGAAAACAAAAAGTTTCAACACTTCCAAAGTCACAGCACATACCTTCAGGGCTAAAATTGAACTTATATTCACTGCCATTCTTTGCATATTTTGATTTTCATGGTTACACAGCCACTGCATAACAAGTTTGGCAGCTTCAAACCTAAAGTGTGACAACATGATAATAAATTACACAAGGCTTAAATTACACTTCACACCTCAGATTCCAACTATTCCTGGAAACCAAAGGAAATGCGCTTATGGTTTCTAGAGGGTAGAAAAGGACATGCCTTTTTTTCAGCATGTGTGCAACACGGTCATTTGAATTATAATTAATGGAACCCTTAGTTCAGGCCAGAAGGAAGATACTAAACAAGTACCTTTTACAACACTCTCGGATCAATCTTGCAACTGACAAAATGAGCAACAGTAAATAACTCTCTAGCAAGTATGAGCAATGCCTTTAATGTAACAGGAGAGCCACAATCAACCCCACTCTCACCACAGAAACAGGGTGAGACTGGGGTTGATAGTGTTTCCCCCTGTTCCTATTAGAGCCTAAGGAATCCATCCCTTGGTCCTGCTGTTTCTTCCTTCATCACCTCCTCCCACCAGGCAGCCAACTGCCAGTGCTGTCCACCATCCATCAACACCAAGCTTAGATAAAAAAGGATCATTGGAATAAAATAAGGTAAATGGGTGCCCTTCATGCAGGAACTGAGCACGACTAGGAAGCTAGCAACTCAATCCCCAGCATGGGATCCAGTCCCTGTTGAACCCAGTGCAATTACCAGTTACTTCAAAGGGCCAGGATTTATTCCTAGTTCTATTCTCATACCAATTTTTGACCAACTGTAGTATTAACAGATTCAGCTCCCCAATGCTGAAGCCATGAGATCAGAATCAGGCCCTAGAAAGCACATGTAAGATTTCTCTATGACAGCACAGAAGTCTAAACAGTCTTGGGGTCAACTAATTAAAGGCAAAGTGTTATGACCAAGACGATAAGTATTACATTTTGCCCTGCTACTCAAAACCTCATTTCAACCTGCCTGTTAAATGGAACATCTTGAAGGATCCTGACACTTGATAATAAAAGGAGGCAGTTCTTCTGCAGCTGTGTGTGGAGAAAGAGAAAAAAAAGCATTTGCATAAAGTTCCAGAAGGCTTCTCTTACAAGAGAGAAAAAATACAAGAATTTTGCAGTTCACTCAACATCTGGGAAGTATGACCATGACATGCAACTCATGCAAATAAAGAATGGTTGGTCTAAGATACCACAAACAATTCCTCTCACTATAAAGCTTCAGTAGGAGATAAAGCAACGACCTTACAGAACACACTTTATTTATGAAATGAGGTCTTTATACTTGACTTCATAACTTAAAGGAGTCTTTCAAAATCAGGAAACTGTCAAATTGCATCTAATTTTGTAATTCACATTCCAAGTAAGCCAAGAGAGCTGGGCTCCTTAGGAGACCTGAGTTCAAGTGAGAGCTGATGCCAGCACTGTGCTCTTCTCAAGGCTCATCTTGGGCACTACGACCCTCTTACAAGGAAATAGTTTCTCTTTCTCAGCTTCGGAGTGAAAGGACATATTTCCCAGCCTTTGCTATAAATAGGGATTAGATTAAAAGGAAGGCACATGTCTACTGCCACCACAAAATAGTTCTGCAATAGAGACAGCTCACATGAAGGGGAAGACAGAAGGGCAAGTCCAAGATCTTCAGCCAGCTGGGACCATAGGTATTACCTACAGAGAGACAGCACTAAACTACTCAACGTGCAATCAGAATAGGCAGCGCCCAGCAATTTGTGTTTTTACAAAACAGTTCATCTGACTGAGGTCAGAATTGCTATTGCTACCATCCTCAACTAATAAAAGCTGGGGAGGAGAGAGTGGTAGAGAATCTGTCAATTTTAGTTGTAATCTAATCAACTTCTGCTGGCTGAGATAATAGTTGATCTCTTCATTAGTACATTAAGGGTGGTTCCAAAGACACTGGAGCTGGACTGTTCTCAGCAGTGGCAGATGACAGAACAAGAAGCAATGGGCTCAAGTTGCAGCAAGGGAAGTTGAGGTTACATATTAGAAAAAATCCTCTCACTAAGGGGGTAGTAAAACACTAGAACAGGTTACCCAGAGAGGTTGTGGAATCTGCACCCTTGGAGGTTTTTAGGCCAGGCTAGACAAAGCCTGGGTTGGGATGATATAGCTGGGAATAGTCCTACTTTGAGCCAGAGGTTGAACTAGATGCGACCTCTTGAGGTTCACTCCAATGTTAATTTTCTATGATTAAGGCTGTTGAAGCTCTCTGGAACAGTGGTGCTAAACCTTTTCCCCCCCACAATAGGCCAGATGGGCAGTGCCCCATCCATGTGCAGGCTGAATCTGGCCAGTGGTCCAGATTCAGCACCCAGGCCAGGTGCAGTGGGAACCAACCAGCCATGGGGAGGGGAGTAAGGGGCAGCACAGCCCCAACATGGCCTTGTAGGGGAAAGAGACATGGCTTGGCCCTGGGGGGGGGGGG